TAATCACTGTCAGATTAAATCTATACTGGACCCAACTATGCAACGTCCCCACTATGCCACGACTCCACTGTGCTGGGTTTTGTTTTTGNTGTAAATTTATCAGAAAAACTCATTATTTTTTGCATTTTTATCGTAATAGAACACTTAAATAGAAATCATAATATCATTTCTAAGTAATTNAGAACACTTAAATAGAAATCATAGTAATCATTTCTAAGTAATTTTTGATATTTAAAAAGATTCTACAATTGAAATATCCAGAACTGAATTAATTTTAATGATTTACTTTAACTAAAAAAAAAAAAATTATTATTTTGAATCCCTCTTGTGGGTAGGTAAAGGGTTAGATTTATAAAAAAAAACCAAATGATAGATAAAGACATGCATCTAAATAAAAAAAAATATACTGATTTGGTCATTTTTGATAAAGTTATAACAATTAACAAAGTTATAAGTTTTATACACTGGACTACAAGGAACTTCCATCAGAAACAAAAATATACTATTCTAAATCAACTTTTTGCGATGTTTTCAAATGTGCAATTAGACTTTTTCTATCACTTCTAAGTTTTAATATTATTAAAACATAGTATTTACATATAAAAAAAAGNATAGTTTTTACATATAAAAAAAAATAATTAAGAACAAAAAAAATTGTTTTAAATTAATACTGATTTGATATAATATTTAATATTAATTTGATTATTAATAAGTTAAAAATAAGGAAAATGACATATTTAACCTATTTTGTTAATCGCTTAAAGTTGATTGTTGTAAATGTTTATAATAAAAAAAAAAATTTATTTTACCTTAACTTTTAGCTCAATTGGTAAGTTTGACATTGACATAATTAAATAGAAAATTTTATGACAATTAAAAAAATTGTATCGTTAAGATCAATATGCAGTCAGAAAGTTTTATAATTACTATTTATTGTAAATTTATCAGAAAAGCTCAATATTTTTTTGCATTTTTATGGTAATAGATAACTTAAATAGAAGTAATAGTAATAATTTCCTAGGAACTTTTGTTGTTTGTTGAAAAGATTCTATAATTGAAATATTGAGAACTTAATTAATTTTAATGATTTACTTTAACTAAATGTACCAATCAAAACAAAGTTGTTAAAAAGATTTACTCAATTGAGTGTATTATAAAATTTGATTATATTTGTAAAAATCAATTGTTAATTCAGGAGAAAAAACAATCATTTTTTTAGAAATGATTTATATAGCAACATGTTACAAAAAAAAAATTGTAATATTATAGTCTAGTAGTAGCANACGTTAGAAAAAAATTTGAATATTATAGTCTAATAGTAGCACACACAAATAGAGTTAAAAAATTATTAAATTACAAAGTAAAATGATTTAATTTTGTAGTTGAAACCTATCATATCAAACTTAATTCGTCAATAAACNGAAACCTATCATATCAAACTTCATTCGTTAATAAATATTTTGAAAACATTAGAAATTAATGATTTTAATTGTCTTTATGGAGAACATGGAATAACTAACTGTTTAATTGATAAATTGAATTTTTTTTTCAATTTTTGAGGGTAATATCTTCAACTAGATACAGAATTGTAGT